ATCTTTCAGTAAATGCCTTTATCTCAGCAAGCTTCCATTGCTCTATGTGAGAGACAGGGCTGTCTAATTGTCACCAATAAGTTTGCCACTCTCCTGTGGGAGTTGTATGGATGACTTAAAATCTTTTCAAATGGGGTTGATATAAAACTTTCTGTTTGGGCACACATGGCAACACATTCACATCGGTGTGTAATTATAATAAATAACAGCTAACATTTCTTTCTGTCATCGGTTGCTTTCAAGTCAGCTCATAGTGGCCTTATGCAGACCAGAATGAAATGTCGAATTCTGTACCAGCCTTATCATCACATGATGATCAATTTCCTTGTCTAGGTTGTTGTGTTGTAATTCCCAATTACTGTGGTGGGGTGGAGGACTCATCTTTTAACACTGCATCAGACAATACTGGGATGCGGTCCGCAAAGTTTCGTTAAGTAATAATTAGAAGTAAATCAATAGGGCTTTTTTCCTAGCCTTAGTCTAGAAGCTCTGCTGAAACTGTCTACCATGGTTGACCTTGGTATTTGAAATACCAATGGTTTTATGACTTAGTGACAGAAGGGGGATGGGCCTAGTGTTTGCTGAGAACTAACCACCTGCTCTGCACTGGTCCAAACACTTGAAGTGTTCTTAATTATTAATTTCTCATAAACCTTAGTAGGTAGCATCTACTGCTACCTACTCCAGATCACAGAGCTTATCAAAGGAAGCACAGAGATTCAGGCACCGACTTCGGCACGCAGTTCAATGCATACACACTTCCCCTCCTGTCCTTTTAACACTCCTATTTCCCACCAGTAGGCAGGCATGTGGAACACATATATTTCTTTTATATGGGTCCTCACATCACCAAAGAGCTCTAGATAAATCCTGACTGGGTACTAGATGACAGAGAGGCAGATGAAGGGTGAAGAGGGCAATGGATTGGCCCTGATAACAGGACTGAGAAGAACGAGGCCCTGGACACATAAGACGTGTCAGATTAAAGTTCTGATCATCAGAAAGAATGCAAGGCCACCAAGGACAGAGCTCTCCTGCAGGATTCCGGTCATTTCAACGCCCTGGAGTTTGGAGCAAACCAAGAAAGGAGGACAGGGAAGAACGAGGCCTTTGGAACGGATGATGGCAGATACGGTTCTGATGGACTGCTCCTATTCCTAAGAGCTTTACAAGTCCCCTTACAAACTCTTCCTTCTATCAATTAACCATCTTGCACCTTTCTGCAAAAAACAAACAAACAAACAAGGAGCTACCATCCAGAGTTTTCAATTCTGATGAAATGAAATGATTAATGAATGGATGGATGTCAGAGAAACAAGAGCCAAGGCTAAGGGCCATGAAGTAATTCCTTCAGCGCTGCCTCCTCGCTAGTCAATGTGTTTCTGGCATAAAACCAAAGGTGAAACTGATTTTTAAATAGGACCCCCTTATATAAAATATCCAGTTAAAAGAAACCACAGACACCAAGGTTTATTAGTGGTTACCTATGGATTGGCACACACACACACACACACACACACCCCAATCTGATCTGCAGAGCTCTGCCTTACACAAAACGTGGGACTGAGAAGCACTCCATGGTCCTAGAGATGGGAATAATCATCAGCATGAATCTGCCTTTCTGTTTTGAGAGGGAGACGAGGCAGGAGACATTAGGAACCTGAGGGGCTTTAATCTCACATGCTGGCGACACGCTTACTGAGGTGGGAGACAGGTGGGGGTCTCGGCTGAGTAGGATGAGCCATCCGCAGAATGCTGAGTGGCCATTTCGGTGGCGCCGGTTGATTTGTTGAGATGGCACAGATGGGAGGGACCTCCTCGGTCAAGTCCATGTTTTCTTGGCCCTCAGACTTTCAGGAAAACAAATGTGAATGACAGGCCCACATCAAGCTCTGGAGTCATTGCCTCAACCATGACGGATGCCTGCCAGGCCTCTGCACTTGATGCTAGACCCTGACGGTGACATAAAAGCCCTCTGAGATGCCACCGCTGTCATCTGCAGTACGAGTCATCATAAGGTAGCAAAAAGGACATCATTTTGACACTCACCAAATACAAAGTTTCCTTTGCCACCTACATTTTGCTTTTTGAATGAAAAGCCTAACAAACATCAGCATGCCCTGTCCGTGCTCGTTCCTTTGGGTAGAATGTCCTGCTCTTCTGTCTAGCGAATCCCTGGATGCACTCCGAGACTCCCCATGATGGGGAATCTGGAAGGTAAGTGGGCAGAGGTGGTCCTGATATGAGAACAGAAGTCGGAAACCTCTCTTTCCCTACTGGATACTTGTCCAAATGCAGCCACCCCAAGCTCCAGATACCAAAAACCTTCCCATTGGTCTATGGAAGAGAGACGGGGCTTCCTACTCCTGTAAAGACTTACAGTCTCAAAACCCATAAGGGCAGTTCTACGCTGTCCTATAGGTTTGCTATGAGTCAGCATCGACTCAATGGCAGTGAGTTTGTTGTTTGTAGTCTTCTCCCGTGTGTGTGTGTGTGTGTGTGTGTGTGTGTGTGTGTGTGTATACACGTGTGCTTAGAACACTAGTTCTCAACAAGGGAATGAGTTTGCTCCATGCCCCTAGAAGACAAACCTTTGGTCATGTCTGAAGCCTATTTGATGGTCAGAATGGGCAGGGAGGGGGAGTGAGGGCTGAGGAACGCTGTGGATAACTATTAGATCGAGGCCAGGGTTGCTCCCGAGCATTGTCCAATGCAGAGGACAAGCCCTTACAACTAAGAAGGAATCAGTCCCCAATGTCAATAGTGCTGAGGCTGAGAAAACCTGAACCAGAGAGCATTTATCAACCACTCATGTACTTTCCGATTTAATTCTAACAGAAGCACATGGAGGAAAAGAGAGTCCCATTTTCAGATGTGAGAGCTGAAGCTCAGAGGGATTTAGCAGGGACACAAGGTCATGGAGTTGGAAGCACACAGAAAGCACTGGGAGGAATTGAAACTCTGCTCTCAAGTTCCTGCTCCTGTCTGTTCCTCAACCACTGAGCCTCCTATGACTGCCACCACACCACACGAACCTCCCCTTCCACCTGCCACCACGGGCATCATTCAGCCTCAAGTAAGGGCGTTTCCACAGGTTCCCTCACATCCATGTCCATTACTTCGGGTTTCCTCTCTCCTTGGCCAGGCTCTTGGGCAGAGAGGTTGCTAGTTGAGAGCTACATGAGGCAGGGTGCAGTAAGGAACCACTGTCAGTCCTTGACTTTTATGCCCAGCCGTTTGTTCATCCCGTTCTTTTAAATAACACAGCCTTGTCTTTGCACACACTTCTGAATGACTGACCGATTGTCCGTGCAGATAACCTGGTGTCTTCCTTACCTAGTGCAGCCAAAACGACAACCGAAAAAACCACAAGTGGGATCCTTTTAGGAATGAAATGAATTTTCTTATATTTTCAGAGGGTAAAAGTTCTAAATGAGGGTCTCAGTTATGTCAACTCTACAAGTGGTTTTTAAGTGCTCTCCAGTCCATGTTGGCTTGGAGCAAGACCGTGTGGACAGTAGAATTGCTCCGTGGGGTTTTTAGGCTGTCATCTCTACAGGAGCAGATGCTCAGGTCTGTCTCCCTCAGAGCTGATGGCTGGATTCGAACCACTAATGCAGCTGAGCACCACCATGGCTCCAACCATGAGTACTTTCCTCAATCCTTCAAACAAACCAAGCTCTCTCTTTCCACTCAGGCGGGTGCTTCTTCTAAAACATGCTTCCTTCTACAATTTACCTGGCCATCACCTGCTGTTTATGTGGATGCCCTTTCCTTGCGGAGGGAGTCCTGGCGGTGCTGTCGGGCTTCGTGCCAGCCCTACAAGGAAGAAAGGGAAGATTTCTGCTCCTGGGGAGGCTCAGAAGCCACAGTCACCGTGAGTGACAATCGACTCACTGGCAGAATGTTTGGTTTTCTGATTCCTTCGTCTGCGCCCCATCAAAATCAGCCTCTCTTGCCACTATTTTCAGTATATTCCTGGTTGTGCTTATGAACATAGTGCCTGTCCCTCCACACAAGGGAGAGAGCAAACTGCTGTGTTCTTTGTGATCATCATCACCTCAATGGCTCCGACCATCACAAATGCACACACACACACACACACACACACACACACACCAGCACACACACATGTGCATGTGCAATACACACACACACACATCCACATTCACACTGGGCGGGGGAGGGGGTGTAGAAAACATTTGTGGAAAAAATGTAATGAAAATATAATAGCCCTGATTTGACTCTTCCTATTTTTGTTTCCCGTGATCTTCATTTATTAAAATATTTTATTATGGTTGGGGCAAAAGTTTACAGAGCAAATTAGTCTTCCATTCAACATTATACACATTTTGTGTCATGACATAAGTTATATTTCCTTCGGTGTAAGTGCACTCCTCTCTCTCTCTCTCTCTCTCTCTCTCTCTCTCTCTCTCTCTCTCTCTCTCTCTCTCTCTCTCGCTCTCGCTCTCGCTCTCGCTCTCGCTCTCCCTCATTTCAATTTGTCCCTCTTTCCCACCCTTTGCTGCCTTTGAGCTTTGTTGGGGATTGGTGTCCCCCTGTCCTCTGGCTGGTCATTCAGAGGTGGACGGTCCTCATGGGTGTACTTTCATCTACTGACCCCTGCCATCAATTCCTCATATGACTTTTCAGAGCTCAGCTTGACCCAATCTCAGGATGCATGATTGAAGGGAGACAGACTTCAAACTGCCTAAATGACTAAACAGCTGTCGTTTTAATGCCAGTCAGGAACAATCTGTACGCAAATCTGTAACTGAACACAGCCCCTGATGAGTCTATCACCGGTTGATGGATGGTGATACTCTGAATGCATCTTCATTCCTGACGGGAGGGAGCTCCGTGAAGAAGGAGAGGATGTGCACTGCACTGGGCCATGGGTTTTTCAAATTTCTTCTTCTGATTCTTGAGTCCCTCTGTTCCAGAAACTGCACTGGAGCATGCAGTGACCCATCAAGTGTATAAAGCTGACTGTGACTGGGCTAGTTTGGGGGGTCTTCACAGAAAAGGCACTTGGGGTCTTGGTCACCTGGAGATTCCATCTGAAGGGTGAGAGAGTGCAGGGTGAAGCTGCTGCTGAGGGCTTGAATGATCTCTCTCTGAACAGCCTGGCTGTCCCGGTGGGCAGCTGTGGATAGAGAACCACAAGAGAGATGAGTACGGATTGCACATACTTGAGTCGCTGCTGAGACTCCAGCTCCAAGTCCTCTGTCTTTGATCTGGTGGGACACTGAAACCGCCCCTCAAGGACCAGCGTGGCTCTGATAGCCAGCTGCTTTCACTTCGATGAGACAGGGAGAATTCTAATGCAGTGAAGCCTCCTGTGATAAGGGTTTATACCCCCACTCCCACTCACATCACCCCCCACCCAACCCCCACAGTTATCTCTGGGGTCTAGCCTTCCAAGGAGTGGAGTGTGACCATGGAGATAAACCCTGAGAAAAACCTTGCTAGGATTTCTATTTCTCACAGGGCCCTGCTCCCCTTCTATCTCATCAGCATTTACGTCAAAGTGGGTGACAGGAACCAGGAAGCACTTAGAGTCCCTGCAGACCTTTCTGTGAGCAGCAAACCTCACTGCCATCTTTTTTCCTGTCCCAAACGGTCTCAGGAGGCTGTAAAGTTCCCTCTATAGCATTCTGATTGTTCACTAGAATCTTCTATTTGCAGTGAAATATTGGCATGGCAAACGCTGTAAATTCCCTGAAGCCAGATCGAAGCTCCTCAGAGAAGATTAGGATGCCTGAGAAAGCAGTCTTCAAATAACTGCCACTGGTGTTTCTGTACTTTGAACCTCAGTAACTTTCTTGAGATTTAATTTTTAGCATTCTCACCTACCAACTTTGGCCTGAATTCTCTCCTAAAGCCATGAAAGAACTCCTGCTTTCTATTTTTCCATGCCCAAGACTTATCCCAGCACCCATGGCAGTTGCGTGGTAGAATTCTAGGTTTGATTTCTGTCCTATGCACCCCATATACAGCTACTAGCCACCTTGCCTGTCAAGGGGACTTGTGTTTGCTAGGATCCTGAGCAAGTTTTCTGCAGGGCTTCTAGATGGAGAGGAGCTGGCCATCTACGTCCCAAAATCAGTAAATGAAAACCCTATGGTTCCTCTAGTCTGCTCTGCAATTGATCGTAGGGATGACACAGCACTGGGAAGGGTTTCGCTGTGTCGTGCTTGGGAACCCAGGCGTCTGGGGCCAACTCCATCGCTGATGAGTCGAGTGAACACTGTTGTAACGGCAGGCCACCCCCCAGGCAGAATCATTTCCTCATTTCCAAAGTACAGTGATTGTGATTGCACAACTCATTCATTGGACAGGCATTTTAACCAAAGGGGTTGTAGGAGTGGGGTGGGGGATACTCTAAGACTGATGAGGCTGTGACTGTATAATACCCCTTAATATATTTAAATGATTGAACAATTGAACTGTCTGATAGGTAAATTATGTGCCAATAAAACTGTTGGGAATATATATGTATTGAATCACCCTGCATTGCTGGGCAAACTGTTATCTGATAAAGTTTTGTTATTCATCACACACAAAAAAGGGAGAGTATAGTATAAAGCCAGTCATCTATGAATTTTCTGGCAGGGTGACAGAATGCTTAATTATCCAGAGAAGGCACTGCCATGCATTCCTCCGAATGGACTACTACCTTGTCAGAACTTTATGGATGGGGCTGTGGCTCACTCAGTCACCCCCCACCTTCAGAGTTGGACAGAGAAGATACCGGATGGAGACTGGCTACTGGAATCATTCCTATTATTTGACTGATGGGCTGAGCTGACCAGGTGACATGGGAGTTTCAGAGTTTGGGGAGCAGTTTCACCCTCTATTCTGTCCTCTACCCTTTGTCACTGGCCCCAAGGGAGGTCGTCAGTATCATTCCTGCTACAATAGCCTTGATCAGAGAGTGTGTTTCAAAGGCCCCAGGGAGTACCGATCACTTGATGGTGGTTTCACAGCTAGCAGTCACTAAGGACAGCTTGACAGAGGAAGGAATTTTCAGGACAAAGGCTGAACTTTGTCCACGGGGTTTACAAAACACACTGACCTGTGGCAACATGAGCCGAGAGGATCACTTGGTTCACTGTTAGAGACCAGATGTGCAGACTGTGCACAGACAGCACCCCGTCGACTGCTAAGATGAGCTCTTTCGCAGCATCGTAAGTCAGGCCCTTTGGCACACCTGCCAAAAGGGGAAAATGGGTGGCAGCTGTTAGTCAACGACGTAGAAGCTCACCGAGATGGTCCAAAGGGTAGTGGAGCTTTTTCCAAAAGATCAACTTGCCCTTCTATTTTGTTGATTTCTTCCTTAAAATTTTACAAATGAGAATCACTGGACTGTGTCAAGGGGTTGACCATCAATTAAAAGTTCACAGGCAGGATAGAATTGGGGTTATGGTAGTAGTGGTGGGAAGCATTAAAGAATTAGAGCAGTAGTTCTCAACCTTCCTAATGCCTCGACCCTTTAATAAAGTTTCTCATGTTGTGGTGACCGCCAACCATAAAATTATTTTCCTTGCTACTTCATAACTGTAATTTTGCTACTGTTATGAATTGGGTGACTCCTGTGAAAGGGTCATTGGACCCCCAAAGAGGTCACGACCCACAGGTTGAGAATCACTGAACTAGAGGAAGGTTGTGTGTTTTATCGGTGCTATCCTGCACCCTGACTGGCTCTTCCCTTCCTTGTGGCCATTCTGACAGGGGATGTCCAATTGATTACTGATGGGTTTTGGAGGGTAAGGGGGTGGAGGGGGAACCGATCACAATGATCAACATATGGTCCCCATCCCAGGGGGATAGACAGCAGAAAAGTGGGTGAATGAGACAGCAGTCGGTGTAAAACATGAAAAAGAAGAAGAATTTATAAATTATCAAGGGGGCATGGGGGATGGAGAAAAATGAGGAGCTGATGCCGGGGTTTAAGTAGAAAGAAAATGTTTTGAAAAAGATGACAATATATGTAAAGATGTGTTTAACAAACTGGATATATGTGTAGATTGTGATAAGAGCTATAAGAGCCCCCAATAAAATAAAATAATTTTTTAAAGTTCACAGGCAGATAATATCTACAGACTTGGCAATGCAATAACCCCCAATAATAATAACTTATATTTTGAGAGTGTTATTCACTTCACTGTGCTTTTTTTTGTTGTTGTTGTTGTTTTTATGATTTTGTACACATTCTCAGAAGAGAAAATGAAATAACATAGGATTTAGTAACAAACAATCAAGGTTAGCATTCTGGATGCATCTACTCTGAATTTAATCAGATTTTAGAAATACTCTGATTATAATAAACACCTTTACAGTAAGCTTTGGGTGATAAGAGCAAAATCGTGTTCGTAGTTCTTGTAGAATAAACTCAACGACTCTTGGCTTTTTTGGTAAACTACAATACTCTAAAATGTTAGTTATCTAACAGATTACTTCTCAGGAAACTTTTAATAGGGGATCCCATCTTTTTAATACCATCCTATTGTTTGGTTTCTAACACTTCTATTAAGGAGGCTGGTGATGCAGTGATTACATGTTGGGCTGCTAACTGCAAGACCAGCAGTTCAAACCCACAAGCCACTCCATGGGAGAAAGATGAGACTTTCTACTCCTGTAATAAGCTACAGTCTTGGAAACCCACAGGGAGAGTTCTACTCTGCCCTAAGAGGTCACGGTGTGGCAGAATTGACTCACTGGCATGAGTTCTTTGGAGACAGAATATTTCTATTCTTTTATCTGCACCCATTAGGGTTCATTGTTCAAGTCACAGAATGTAATAGTCCAGCAACACCTCTTGGTTCTGAAGGGCATTGTGGGGCACAGGACGCTGGGGATCCTGGTAATCCATCCAACATTCTTATAGGGTGAAAGAACTCAGGTGTCCGACCTGGGGGAAAAACTAACTAAAGGCACGATGGTCCCTTTCTCCATGAATTGCCATGATTTTGTCATGCAGAAGATGAGAGGCGATGACCATGTAAGGGTGCTTGCTTTGGCTAACTCCAGAGAGAAAAACAGAACCAGAGGTCAGAAGTTACGTGAAAACAGACATCGGTTCAATAGCATTGTGTTGGCTGGGATTTGTTGCTCTTGTCTTCTTTTGTAACTGATCAGCACAACAGTGGAATAAGAGAAAGATAAATCTTAGTGAACTAAGGATCACCCAAAGAGGATGGTGTAGAAGGGATTTCAAAGCACTTCTTATATTTTAAGGAGCTCCGGCTGTCTCAGTAGGTCAAAGATCTCAGCTGCTAATGGATCGAACCCAAGTGCTTCACAGAGGAAAGGCGTGGGAGTTGACCTTTCTAAGGACACACACAGCCTTGGAACCTTGTTCAAGGCAGTTTCTGTGCTCCTCCTAGAGTGAGAGGAGTTGGAAACAACTCAACAATGACAATGGGTGCTCCTATTTTAGCTTTTCCTTCAATTATTCTCCAGTGTGGTGCCAGAACCACTCAGAACATAAACGTAGGGCGTTATTAAAAAGACTTATTTCTTGATTCCATTCCAGGATGCTTGGAAGAATTTTATATGGATTAGACTCTGAAATCTACAAGTTTTCAGAGTGGTTCTCAACTTTGGGTGCACACTCGTTCACTAATCAAGGTTAAGGTAGCCTGGCGACCAGGTTTCATCCAACCCCCATGACCTCAGATTTCTGGGGATTGATTCTGGGGCCTCAATACTTTTGGAGCTCAGTTGGTGATTCTAACACATAGCAAAGGTTGAGCACCACACGCTACCATTTATAAGGCACTAAGCAGCTTTTCCTCACAGTAGTTCTCAACCTTGACTGCACATTTTAAGATGCCAAAGTCAGGCCTCATCCCAGGCCAATTACCATATATACTCAAGTTGAAGCCGACCCGAATATCAGCTGAGGCACCTAATTTTACCACAAAAACGACATTAAAAAATGTGCTGAAAAAATTGGCTTATACACAAGTATATATGGTAAGTCAGAATGTCTGTGTGTAGGGCCTGGATATAAGTACTTTTTATAAGTATTTTTTAACACATCCTAGATTACTTTAAGGGGAGCCTTGGTGGCATAATGGTTATCATTGGGCTGCTAACTGCAATGTTAGCAGTTCAAAACCACCAGCCGCTCTGTGGGTAAAAGATTTGAGATGCTCTACTCCCATAAAGAGTTACAGTCTCAAAAACCCACAGAGGAAGTTCCGTACTACAGGATCCCTGTGAGTCAGAACAGACTCAATGGCAGTGAGTTTGGTGTTTGAGATATTGTAATGTGTGGTCGAGAACTGAGAACCATGAACTTAAAGGATTTGAATACTTTCTCTACAAGGGATTTACTTCTAGCTAATTCTTTACAGTTTGAGCTTAGCTTTAATCTCACTTTCTTTTGTTTCATGGACATAATGAGGGTCAGAATGTCTCTAACTCTGTCCTCTAAGGTCCCGGGTACAAGAAGCAGATGAAAGGAATTTAACTATAGGCTGTGGATAACATATGTAATAATTATCATACTTTAATAATAATAATAATAATAATAATAATAGACCTTTTGCGAGCAAACCATGGGTCAAGCTTTATGCTGAGTAGTTTACTTAGACCACTTATCTCATTTAATACTCTTATCAACTTACAGAAGCACAAAAATGTACACAAGGATAGTAATTGTATCATTGGTTATAATGCTCACAAATAAGCAAAAACATACAGCGTACTAAATATAGTTATGAAACCTATGTCTGTGCTAATAAGGCAAGATTTCCAACTGAAAAAAAGCACTGTGCAGAAAAAAACCCATATCAGTGCATAATTCTATTTGCATAAAGAGCCATATTTTAAATAGGTATCTGACTCATAACAACCCTATAGGATAGACTAAAACTGCCCTGTGGGTTTCTGAGACTCTAACCCTTACAGCAGTAGAAAGCCTCATCAATCTCCCAAATATCTATATTGCACATATATTATTACATTTATGTGGATACATAAATATTTTGGGAAATGCCCACACCATCTTATTAATAGGTATTATCCCTGTGGAACAGTGCTGGGCATTACAAATCGAGAGGTGAGAAGACATTTCGGTTATCATTTTATACCTTTCGGTGCTCTTTAAAAATTCAACCAAGTACAAATGTTCTTTTATACCAACCCAATTTAAACATCAATTATCTTCCAGAAAGGAGGTACCTGTCGGTTTCAATAAATGGCTGAGGTAGCCATGGTCTCTGCACTAGCTCTTAAATGAAATAATAAAGATAATCACTAATGAAAGGCTACACTGAGAGGTAGGAATAGGGGAACAGAAGCATCTCAAATTTTAATCCAATTTGACTTTTATCATCCTTTACATCCATGGCAGCTATAACAGCAAAGGCAGCTGCAGCTCAGCGGCTGGCCCCAGGAAAGAACATAGATGCATCTTTGAGTGGATGAGCCAAATGTTCTCAAGCTGGAGCTGAGAAATTCACTGGCTACTTAGTGATATTTTACTCAAGTGGCTGTTTCAGAGTCACCAACAATGACTGCGCCCACCAGGAGCAAAACCCTGAGCTGCACACCCTGCAGTGAATGCTCATGACACGTGGACTGTCTGCCACTGAAAGCAGCCACACTGAGACCGCACCTCAAAAGGTGCTGGGAACAGGTGGGGAGGGGGCATGACCAAACAGCTAACGTCTGGAGAGTTCTCATCCAGACTGTTTGGTAGGACACACGCAGACCTCTAGTTCTGATGGAAGTTCCTAGTCAGCCTTGCAGTGCCATCATGCAGGAATCCTGGACGTGGTGTGAAGCACCAGCAACATCAGCATCTTGTAAATTTAAATCGGCAGTCCTATCTCAGACTTGCTAACTCAGGAACCAGAAGGATGGGCCCCAACCAGGGTCTTAACAAATTTTCTAACCAATTCTGATGCCACCACATGTCAAGAACCACTGTCTAACACTGACTTAGCCAAGACCCATTGGGTCCTTATTTTCTTAGACTGTTGAACTAAAAGATCCTGTTCGCTGAGTCATTTTCAAGTGGTCAATATGACATTGATGAATCACCTTGGCTATGTAACCCAGTATCTTCTGTCTTTAAGATACACAGTATACAAAAGTAATATCACTGTGAGTCAGTAGTTCTTCTGCTTCACGGGCCATTTAAAAGGTTTTCTGGTAATGAAGATGGATATGCTGTGATCCAGACTCTCTTATCTGGTCCTTCTGAGAGCATCTTCATTGATTGGCAGCCAAGATTTTGGAAGCGTTGTGGCCAAAAGCCATAAATATCTCAGGATGAGATAAATAAGCAGTACTGGGTTCATGTCCACAACCTGGCTTCAGATATTCCATATTCAAGTCAACTGAAAGAGTTGGCTGAGAACTTGTACTTATGACATTTCTACTGTGTCCACACATTATGTCATGTACCTAGTTCCTCGAACACTCGCAACTTCCACTCATCTGTGAGTTTGCCTTCCTGTGGGGGTTTGCATATTGCTGCGATGGTGGAAACTGTGTCACGGGTATTTCTAATATCAACAGGGGCCACCCGTAACAAACAAGTTTCAGCAGAGCTTTCAGACTAAGACAGACTGGAAGCAGAATCTGGTGATCTACTTTTGAAAACACTGGCCAGTGAAAACCTTATAAATGACAGAAGAGCATTGTCTTATATAATGCCCGACGAGGAGACCGTCAACTTGGAAGGCACTCAAAATACAATTTGGGAAGAGCTGTCTCCCCAAAGCACAATCAACTTTAATGATGTGGAAGAGCAACACTTGGGGAGCCTTTGCTGACTGATGGGGCACAGCTGAAAATGAGATGAAATAGCTGCAAGCCTCCCTGAATAATCGCAATGTGGAATGTACAAAGTGTCCTCAGGAAGATTAGAAGTCATAAAAGTAAAATTAAACATTTGAAGATTGATAATCCAGGAATTAGCTGAAATTGACTGACACTGGTTCTTTTGAATCATTTAATTCTATATCTACTATGTCAGGAATGACATCTTAAAGAGATCCAAAAAGAATATTTCAAGATAGATCCTGAAGTATAACACAGTAAGTGATAATAAAGCATTATAATGTGATGGAAAGACCTGGAATTAGAAAAACAAAATGTAGGAACCTACTCAGAATATCTGAAGCTGAAAGAAATGAATGAAAGAAACAAGCCTTCAGTTGAAATAGTATGAGTCTACGGGCAAAAGGTTGAAATGCACAGAAAGCACCGAAGGAAAATAGAAGGGATACATAGAGCCATTCTACCAAAAAGGAGTCCTGATGGTACTGTCAGATAAGCATGGGCATCTAACTGGAAGGTCAGCAGTTCAAACCAGCCACCTGCTTATGGGAGAAAGAAGAGGCTACCTGATGCTGTAAAGATTTACAGCTCAGAAATCCTACAGATGGTTGCTAGGCATCAGAATCAGCTCCTGGATATATAGTAGTGGGTTGAGTGCTGTGCACAAAATAATTGTCTAAGAGTCAACTATTTCAAGAGGTAGCATATGACCAAGTGCTGATGATACTGAAGGAAGATATCTAAGCTGCACTGAAGGCACTGGTGAAAAACAAGAATCCAGGAATTGATGGAATACCATGTGAAACGTTTCAGCAAGCTGAAGAAGCACTGGAAATATGCACTCATCTATGCCAAAAGATTTGGAACATAGAGTGTAAGAGATTCCTGTGTGTGCCCATTCAAAAGAAAGGACTGTGGAACACTCCAACAGAATGTGGACATTATCAAAGAATAGTATTATCCACACCTTTGTGGCATGTTATCTGGAGGCATCAATCCTAAGAAAAGAACATCATGGTTGGGAAATTAGAGGGCTGATGAAAAAGAAAAGACCCCCAATGAGCAGACTGGACGAGGGGCTGCAACAATGGGCTGTGAGGATGGTCCAGAACTGGGCAGTGTTTCCTGCTGTCATCATTGGGTAGCTGTAAGTCAAAGCCCAATCAAAAGCACCTAGCAATATCTTTAATAGAACACCTGAATACATTTTTACTGGAGATAATTTTAAAGAGGTTGTGGTAATAGAACTGGTACTCAGATTAAGAGGTAGTTGTTCAAAAAGGAACCAGGGAACACCACATGTTTCAATAGCAGGCAAGGCATACATCAAGGTTGTATCCTTTAACCACATGTATCCAATCTGTACACTGAGCAAATACTTCAACTAAGTGGGCCACGTGAAGAACATGGTAGTAGAAATGGAGGAAGACTCATTAACAACTTGCGATATTCAGATGGTAGCACTTTGCTTCCAGAAACTGGAGAGGGCTTGTGATTTTTAATTTGACGAACATCAAATCATATAGCCTTCAGTGTGGATTACATTTCAAGTCAAAGAAAACGAAATCCTGACAACTGGACCTAACAAAAGTCCCATCGCGAAGAATGGAGCAAAGAGTGACCCCGGGCAGGACTTCATTTTACATGGATCCACAATCAAAACCCATGAAAGTAGCAGTGAAGAAATCAAACAATGCATTGAACTTGGCAAATCTATTCAAAACCAAATATATCCCCTTGAAGAAAAAAGGTGCATCTGCCCAGGACCGCCATATTTTCAATCAACTTATATACACATAAAAGCTCGATGATGAATGAGGAAGACCAGAGAAAATTTGATCTTTAAATTATGGTGTTTCAAAAAATTATGTTTATGAAAAATATTAAACATAATATGAACTTCCAGAAAAATAAAGAAATCTATCTTGGAAGAAGTACAGACAAAATGCCCCATAGAAGCAAGGAGGGTGATCCTTCATCTTGTGGACTTTGGAACATGTACCAGGAGGAATTGGTCTCTAGAGAAGGAAGACATCCTGGTTGAGGGGCAGAGAGTCAGTGATACAGAGAAGGACCCTCCTTGAGATGGACGGACAAAGTGTCTGCAGCAGTGGCCTCGCGCATAGCAGTGTTGAGAAGAGTACCGAGATGAGGAGGTGCTTCATTCGCTGTGCGTACGATCATAATGAGTCCGGAGCAGTTTGATAGTATCTAACAACAGCAATAACCCTCACACCCATATGGAATGACAAATGGTTTTTTATTTGAGAAAACCAAGTTTCAGAAGAATTAAGAATCTAAAGTTCCATTGCTGGAAACTTGCATAAGTAGAACTCAACTGGGGTCATTTAACACAAAGCCCTGGCTTTTCCGACTGCATGCTGGTTCTTTCCAAGCCAACTTGGTCAATAAGGACAGAGACTAAAAAGGTCAGAAGTCAGCGATGCTTTAACCACTGTATGCCAAATTAAAATAATAAAACTATTATAGACGTGAGAGAGGAATTAATGATGTATGTGATTCCTGTCATCTATCCCTGGAAAAGAAAAGACCCATGGATCCAGACAAGAGGTTTCACAAGCGCTGGAGTGTGGCCAGGACTGGCCCCTACGTGTAGGGAATGAGATTCATAAACTCGAGAACCTACTCTCAGCGAAGGGAGAGCCTCAGACACCTCACCCCTCGGGAAAGTCTCCTTGAACCTCTGCTGCCATTGTCTGGTTCAATTTCCTCAATGAAGAGTCTCTATATCTCTTCTTCTTCGTAGCACTTGTTTTTGCTAGTTTCTATCAACTCAGCTGGTACGCACAGTGACCTTGTGCCCAACAGAACTAAAAGGTGCCTAGTTCTGGGCCATCTTCATGATCGTTGATATGCTTGAGTTTCTTGTTCGGGTTCAAGGAGCATTTGACTCATTTTCAGTCTTTACTTTTGCCAGCCATGATGTCCTTTTCTAGCAACTGGTTTTTCCTGAGGATGTGTCCCAAGGTTAGTGGGCTGAAGTGTTTGCATCTATGCTTTTAAAGATATTTAAAGATATTCAGCTGATATTTCTTCTAAAATTGATTTGGAGCACGGACTGCCATCCTGTTTCTGTGTAAACCCTAAACAGTGTCTTTCTCTTCTTCACTAAGTATTAGCCCAATGAGGACCTGCCTTTGCTCAGGTCTGTACTTCTAGCTTCGTCCATACTAAATGGCACAGAGACGGAGCTTCATGAACATTTGCTGGATAAATATACAAAAGGTCAGCCTGGTGTTATTTCACTGTGAGCCATGACTGACTAAAATGTTCGGGTCTAATGCTGCCCAAGGAATTGATTTATTCCAATTTTATTAGCCTTTTCTAGGCATTTTCAGGGATAAATCTATTGTTGTTCTGTGATCTCCTTTCATGTCTTTATCTTTAGTGATTATGCATCTGTCTTGTGCTCACCCGATCTACAATTATGGAGAGAGGAGCCGTTGCTGAAGGGAATCTAGGAGCCAGGAGCCAGTTCTTTTGATTTGTTCCCTATGAATAAGAATCACATATCTATTGTCACAAAAATTTTCTATCACTTAACATTTTCCCCGTAGTACAAATGAATAGGGAACACACCTTGGGGCATTCTCTTATGTGACCAGCGGGGAAGAAAGCATTGATCCAGAGATAATAAGAATAAGATTGCTCTTACCTTCCATGAGTAAGATGAAAAGGTCCTTTAAGATAGTGATGGTGCTGGCCAGAACCAGGATGGAAAAGAGAAATGTGCAGATTGGGTCTGCTATTTTGTAGTCTGGCTAGAAAAGACAGGGTTACCTTGGTTAGCTCAGTTCATATTTTCCACGCACACAGTCTGATTGAGAAAGCAAGCCTCCTTCTTCCTTCTATCTTTAACGCCCATTCACCTGCCTAATCATCATCACCCAACTCTTAGGCAAGACTCTCTCTCAAAGGACTCGGGTCCTGCTGTTCTTCTTTATGCCTTTAAACTACCAGTGTCTAGAGAAGGGAGATTATAGAAGATTCTCTCCACATCATTTATGAACCAAATATGTGTGGGTGTTAGCTCAAGAGGCCTGCTTTCATGTTCTCAAAAGAACAGAATAGAAGCACAGACTACCTGGTGAAACATGCACAAATATTTCAACAATTTGCTGTGACTTCTAGGCTTTAATGATGTGGTGAACTAGAAAAGATCTAATTCTACCAGAGGTTGCATGAAGTCAATGTAGAACTGATTTCCTCCTCGGCTGAGTAGGACACAAACTTGAGGCTGACATTTGGCTCATGTCTTTAGTGATAGACTACTAATGACATGCACCAACACCTCATTCTTTCTCTCTCCTCTGGAGATCATAGCGTCAGGCTAAGCCCACCTACGATCTTGCCCTTAATAACGTGCTTCACGTCAAAAGAATCCATGAGCCTGCACGTCTAACAAAGCATGGATGTAGCTTTTTCCAGAGAACTTTTGGAGCCCATGAACCCTTACAATTTTGTATGGTTTTGAGTTACACTTGAAGCTTTCAATGAGTATTTTGCTTAACTGGATTCAGTTGCTGTGTTTTTGTCTTTGTATTTTTGTACATTCTTTCCCTCTTTGACAGAAAATAGTGCAGAGTCTCCCAAAGCTGGACCATCATGATGCAACACTCTCTCCTTCCATTTGACCTGTGGGTTAGGACTGACGGGGTTGCCCTCCCAAGCCCGCAAGCCATTCCATAAGTAAAAATGAAGTTGGCTGCTCCTGCATAGACTGAGCATCCCAGAAACCCCATGTAGGGTTGCTAAGAGGGGGAATTGACTTGACGGCCGTGAGTCTGTTGTTGGCAGGCACTGTTCCACTGCGTTGGAAATGCTGCAAATACTGAAAGCTCAACCTACTGAGAGTTCAATCTACCGACACTTAAGATAGAAGCTTCATTTTTTTTCCTTCAGCCCTTTCACCTTGAGATATGAGTGTGTTCTTCCTATTTGTCTCTCCATTATAATACTTTATACATGCCATCATAATACCTTGTCCTCTCAAGCTGCCCTTTGAAATTTTCGATTTGGCTCTCTTACTTCATCATTGTTTGCATTTGCTTTAGCTACTCTCTGACCAACAGCAAGTGCCAGAGCCTCTTCCAGCATCCACTTTGACCTTTTCTTTCTTTCCTGTCTTTTGAATGATCTTTTGCTTTCTTCATACATAAAATTCTTGGTAGCATCCCACAAGTCATCTGCCCTTCAATCATTAGTGCTCAACGTATCAGTTCTGTTCTTGATATGTTTTTAGAATTCAGGTAGAATATATTTGAGGTTGTATTTTAACTCCCATGAAGTTTCTCAAACTTTTTTGAGCTTTAGTCTGAACTTGAAATTGATGGTCTATTCCACAGTCAGACCTAGGCCTTGGTTTAGCTGGTGATATTCAGCATTTCCATCATGTTGTATCACTAATGTTCTCAGTTTGATTCCTGTGTATTCCATCTGGCAAGGTTCATATGTACAGTTTCCATTTACGGTGTTGAAAATGGCATTTGCAAGGAAGAAATTATTCATCTTGCAAAATCCTATCATGTGATCTCCATCTTTGTTTCTATCACCAATGCCATGTTTTCCCACTACTGATCTCTTTGTGTCAAATGGATTGCATTCCAATTGATAAAAATTATCCGTTCATCTCGATTGCTTGTTTGATCAAAAAATTGGTTAAAATGCTTCAATTTCTTCATCACAAGCCTTACGGGTTGCTACATTAAATAATAGTTGCATTAACAGATCTTCCTTGTATGTAAATAGATATTATCGTATCCCAGATAATACTGCACTTTAAGACAGACCTTGAAATGTCCTTTTTGAAGATGAATACAATGCCACTCCTCTTGAATTTGCCATTCCTGGCACAGTGAACCATATGATTGTCCAAGTAAAAAAGGCCACTACTAGTTCACTTCAGCTAATGAATGCCTATGATATCTGTCTTTCAGTGCTCCATATCATTTTGGGTGACTTCCAATTTACCTAGATCCTTATTTTGTACATTCCATATTCTAATGACTAATGGATGTTTGAAGTTGTTTCTTCTCCTCTTGAGCTGTGCCCCGTCAGCAAATGAAGGTTCCAAAAGCTTTGCTACTTCCAAGCCACTAAGGTCAACTCTACTTTGAAGAGGAAATGCTTCCTCCACCATATTTTGAGCGTCTTCCAATCCTAGCGGCTCATCTTCCAGCACTATACCAGACTATGCTTTGTTGCTATTTGTAAGGTGTTCAGTGAGGACGTCTTGTTAAAGCAGACTACCACTTCCTGTATCCTAGCCGGAGGTTAGTTCAGAAGTTCTATTGAAATCTACTCAATCTGAATGAGGCTGCCGGTCTTTTAATTTCTGGTGGCATCATTTCTAGCATCACAGCAACAAGGAAGCCACCATAGTTTAACAAACTGTCAGACAAGTAGGCATCAAAGACAAATGTCTTAGAAAACTGAGAATTGCAGATTTGGGGTATTTGTTTTAACTTTGTAAAGTATTTGGGTAGGCAAATGTAGGCTCTTTTGAAATGATTGGAAAATCCATGTTTATGTTGCCTGGTTCATGCAACTACAAAGTTGCCTAAACTCAAACCCACTCACCTTATAGTAGATGATAAGGGCACTAATCAGCACACTGATGCTCTGTAGCAGGTCTCCAAGGGCATGCACAAAAGCTGCTCTCACACTGGCATTCGCCTGTGCTTCCTGGTGAGTGTGGCCAGGGCCACTCTGGTGCAAAAGCACACTTAGTCTGAAAGAAAGAACAATGCTCTTAGCAATATTAACCCTTCTAAATCATAATGCAGCTGAGTGAAGGAGTGGACAATTCCAGGGATTACCCGAAATTGTGGCTACTTCAAATATATGTGTTTTAACATGTATTATTTTAGACTAGTATTTGAGCACAATTTACCATAAAGTTTTAAGGTTTTCACATAAGACCAGACTTCAAAGACTCATGTCAGTTTTTCCATTCATCTACCTAATGCTACTCTCACTCACACTAAAATGAGGAAGCACTTCTTCTTAGATAAATGCCAGTCTGTGAGCCTGAAGTAGGAAGATCATTGATATAGTGTCTACTAAATGTCAGAGATTGTAAACTTGAGATGAAGCTTTGATTCTGTAAGACAAGGATCTTGGGGTGTGCAGTGATCAATACTAGCCATACATAGAAGTATAATCTTTCATACGGGAGAAGAGTGTGAAATTGTTTACTAAAAATTAGCAAGTCAAAAAAAATTAAAAAATTAAAAATAAATAAAAATTAGCAAGTCAATACAAGTTAGCTTATTTTATAATCTGACCATTTTACGCAGAGGAAATTGAGGGTGCAAAAGTTGTATGGCTCTCTCTGTAGTCTTAATTCTTCCTCTAGGACTTTCTGGGCTAACATTAGCTGCCCAAATTATGATTTTGTTGTCTCTGTATTCAGACACCACAGGATCCACTTGCACTTGAAACTTGCAGTTTCAGTTCTTGGAGAGAACATTCAACACTCAGTGTCTTCATCTGTAAATAAACACCCACTTGCACAGGGAGTGCAAAGCTTTTCAATTTCTTTGTCTTTCTAAGTGTGAAAAATATATCTGCAGTGTTAATGTCAAGGGGCAGCGTGGGTGTCTGGATTTAGCAAGCCAACTTTCTCCTAGAGGGCACCAGCTTCATGGGGTAGTTGGCTAGGTAGATCCTTCATGTTTTTGTAGCACTGACAAACCTCTACTACATATAACTCTCAGAAAATTATCAATACTTTTCTTTTCTGCTGCTTGAAGAACATATTGTTCTTTTTTTGGTTTTGTTTTTTTTTTTTGCAAAGGTGATATTATTGACTCCTACTCCATGAGCTATGTGGTCTGGGTTATTTGTCTCTAGGTGTCGATAGATTTGCATTGATCTAGCCATGCGTTACTCTTCTCGTGCCAATGAGAGCCACATTTTCAAGTTAACTTGTTAGAGAGGGGTCCTAGTCAGTGACAGCAGATCAAACATCATTCTTCCAGGTAGCTCAGAGGTCTGGAGTAATGAACTCAAAACTAAGAGGTGGACGCCTGCTGTGGTGAGTACTAAGGTATTAGCCTGCCGTGGTGCATACTAAAGGTATTAGAATGACCTGGGAGCTTTGTCAGAGTGTACGTGCTCTGCTTACTCTCTAGCTAAATATTCCATTATGATTTTCTTAAAAAACAAAACACTGTTTAAAAGTCAAATTTCCCATCATTGTCCTCATCACCTCCGCATACAAACCTACCTTGTATCTTATATTGAGTTTCTTACAAGATACATGGATGATAGACGGACAGTACATTTGTTTCCTCTTGCTGCTGTAACAAATTACCACAAGCTAGTGGCTTAACCAACCCCGACTTATTCTGCAGTGCCTTTTGGAGGCTCTAAGATTGAACCCTTTTTGCTTCTTTTTCCACCTCCTAGAGTCCATCTACATTCCTTAGTTCATGGCCACTTCCTTCATCTTCAAAGTCAGCAGTGTAACATCTTGTCTCCTAAAGGATCATTGTGATTATATCTCTTTCTTATCATGACCATTGTGATTATATCAGACCTATCATCTAAAGAATCTGCACTTAAAAATATCTGCAAATTCCTTGCTGCCATGTAAGGTTACATCTTCAGAGATTTCAAGGACTAGGATATAGCCATCTTGAGGAACAATTATATTCCCAATGGGTGATAGATAGATAGATAGATAGATAGATAGATAGATAGATAGATAGATTAGATAATCTCGTGTCAACTTGAGGGTATTAAGAGTGAAGGGGTGGAAGCTAGCCTGTCAATCAGGTCACAGCCTCATGATGCCTCCTCTAGGGCATGGCCTTTTCATGAGGATTCTGGGAACTTCCTCTCCTCCCTGGAGGTCAGCAACACTGTCTCTCTGCTTTGGTCTTCCTGTTGACAAGACATGGGAGATGTTCTGAGACCTGTGAAAGTCTTGTTTTCTCTCTGCTTCACCTTCCTGCTATTGAGTCACTCAGAGAGCTGGAGGAGCCACCTTGAGACCAGCACCAGTGCTGAGACGCTTCCACTGCCACTGGATCCACAAGACTTTGCACCCATTGACCTGTGCTCTTCCTGCATTTTGCATCATTGAATGTACTCCATGAGTCTCAAGAGAGATTTATGGATTAGTCTCAGACTTTTGGGCTAATATCAGACTTGTGAACTTGATCTGGACTGGGCTGGGATGTTTTCTTAATATACAATCATTCTTTGATATAAAACATTTTCGAATATGTGTGTGTGTGTGTGTGTGTGTGTGTGTCTGTCTGTCTGAATTTATTTCTATAGCCAACCCGGTCTAACATAGATAGATAGATAGATAGATAGATAGATAGATAGATAGATAGATAGACAGACAGACAGACAGACATAGATAGAACCAAACCAAACTCACTGCCAAGCCAATGGTGATGCATAATGAACCAAAAGGGTATAACTGTAACTCCATAGAACCAAAAGGGTGTAACTTCCCCTTTGAATTTCTGAGACTATAAGTCTTAACAGAAAGCCTCAACTTTCTCATAGATAGATAGGTAAGTAGATAGATAGATAGATAGATATAAAAGCAGTGAAGAAGAGAGAAAAGGGAAGTAAGGGAGATAAAGAAATACACTGTGGTATAGTTGCCTAGGAGCAGACCATCTGTGATCGTTAGGTTTTGTGTCCAGTTGGCTGTTCCAGGATTCTTAGTGGTGTGGCAGTTGTGGCCTCCCCCCTGATATGATCTAACATAATGTAAACAACTCCATGGACAGCGAAGCAGTTGTTAGAGTTAGGGAAGAATGAAACCTCCCTACTCAGGTGATAATCATCCTGCAATTGAAAGGACATTTCCTCAGGGGTACGTCATACTCCTGTGTAAGTGGGTTCTGTGGGAAAGCTTGTCCTTTCTTGCTGGTCTGGGACCTACATCAGGCCCTTTGGCCACCTGGTCTTTGAACTTGAGCCAATGGCCCACCACATTGCCTGGTAACCCTGAGAGTCATCAGAGTCTGCTCCCTGACCTGCTACAGCCAGTGGCCCACCGTGTTATCTGCTGACCCTGGGAACCATCAGAATCTGCCTCCTGACCCGTGGATGCATCTTCCTCTGCACCCTTTCTGCTGATCTTCCTGCATTAATCCCTGTAGCTATGCAATTCAAGAAAATTCTCTAGCTTAACATCCAACTGTTGGACTTGAACCAGACTAAACTTACCTGTTTCTACAATTATGTGAGCCACTTCCTGGATATAATTATAGATATAGAACTATATCACTGGTTTTGCTTCTCTAGAGAACAGAGCCTAACATTATATCATCATATAAGAAGGAGTTGTACAATATGATTAATGTAAAATGTATCATTAAATTAAACACCTAAAAAATGTTGTTGTCAAATGTTGTGATAAATATACTGATTGATATGGATATTCATAAAAATAAAAAGTAATTAAATAAAAGCCTCACTTCACCCCCACACCACACAAAAATTGAGAAGGGAAAAACTGATCCAAAAGGGTTAAAATCCTATCTTATCACACAATATTGGATTGTGTAAAATATGGCACACAAAAAAACCTCTTAGAGGGGGGAAAAGGATTCCTGGGGGGCAGGGTTGAGGAGGGAGGGAATAAAGGAGAGCTGATATCAAGGAGTTCAAGAAGAAATAAAATGTTTTAAAACTGATTGTGGTAGCAATGGTACAGTACTGTTTAATGTGATTGAACTGTGAATGTTATGGTATCTGTAAGAGCTCCCAAAGAAATGATTAATTTTTTTAAAATCACATTGTCTTAAGCAATCAAGTAGTTTTGGGGGGAAGCAGATCAAGTTGAGACGAGTCGTGAGACCATTTCCTATATGAATGGTTTGAGGTTGCCTGGATAGGAAAATAATCAAATGAAGCAGGAGGGAAGGAACCCTACAGAAGATCTATTTTAAATGTTTGAAAGAATTTTAAATGGTGTAAGGTGCAGATTTGCCATCCGTGGCTAAAGAGCGAAGAAATAGGACCAACAGTTGTTAGCTATCAAACATGAAAAATAATTTCATACAGTCACAATAATACAAAGACAAAAGAGGCTGTTAGGAAGGACAATACATTTCCTACTGGGAATCGTAAAGTGCTTAATGAGCAGTAGGAAGTTTGGTGCTTTGAACCCACTTAGAGGTGCTACCAAACACCGGCCTGGCCTTCTACTTCTGAAAGGTTCAGCCTTGAACACAAGGGCGGCAACTCTACTCCACAGTGTGGGAGTCATCAGAAGCCAGAAGGTACTCAGTGGCAACCAGCAACTAAATTCCTTGTGATTAGTCTGCTTTGAATGTGAAACAAAGGGTCCTTCTACTGTAAAAGAGAACTCCAGAGTAAATCAAGCTAACGTCAAAGTCCTTTCCAATGCAGCTCCCTAACAAAAGTTAAAATGTACAAAGAATGAAGCTATAAAACTGTAAAATGGAAGAATATGCTAGGAATTTCTCAAGCTAAAAGAACTGAATCAAGCTTTTTGCCACCAAAACTGTTTTATTAGAAGCTAATACAGATGTCATATCATTCCATAGTTTAATCACATCAAGCAGTATTGTACAATGGCTCCCACAATCAGTTTAAAAACATTCTCTTCCTTCTTGAACTCCTTGATATCAGCTCCCCTTTACCCCCTCCTCCCCCACTGTACCCCCTAAGAACCCTTATTCTAATTGCTGTCTCTATAAGTTCATCAATACTGAGTTTCATATAACCAAAAAA